TGCCTCGCCTCAGGACAAATTGTGTTAATAAAAAAAGCATGGGGTCCTGAGAGGAGGAGATCTTAGTTTCCTTTAAACTAGGCTCCTCTAACCCCAAATGCCTTTCAAAATTATATTTCGTCTCTGGACTGTTTAATCTATGCACAGCTTTCTCCAGATTCCAGAACTCTTCTAGATGCCAGATCAAGAACCCCGGCAGAGATAACTAGAGATCCATGGTTAATAGTTGTGTAACAGCTCTAGAGATCAACCAATTTGCTTTGGAATAGGAAAACAGATGGCTCCAAAAGGGTATCTTTAAGAAGCTAAGCAAATGAAATAAATATAATTATGAACTCCAAAATTAAAACAAAATCAAAAGTTATAATACATAATATAATTTAGCTGTGAATAATATTTATAGTTGTAATAATGCAAACACTAATACTGATCTAACCCAAAATGATAACATATCCATATTGAGAGGCTAGATGGTAAGGAAATGAATGGTTAGTGGGGCAGGACAGTGGAAGTAGGAGAAATATCTTTTATACAAGAATGTAAACAGATAATATCTAAAGCTAAAATTCAGATTAGCAGTTAAGCATGTTATCAAGAAATAAGAAAAAATTCCAGAGCAAACAGCTGATTTGAAAGTGGGTATGAGAAAGATAAATACAGGGGATCGCTGATTCATTGTAGCTTTTTAAAACTATTGTATTTTGAAAACTAGGTGTATATATAACTTTTTTAAAACATAATTTTAAAATAACACACATTTCCATTGATGGGAATATTAAATGGTGCAGTTGCTATGAAAAACAAAGTTAAAATAGAATTATATAATCCAGCAACTCCACTTCTGAGTATATATTCAAAAGAATTAAAAGCAGGATCCTGAGGAGATATTTGTACACCCAAGTTTATAGCAATAGCCAAAATGTAGAGCCAACCCAAATGACCATCAATGGATGAATGCATAAACAAAATGTGGTACAACATGAATGGTAACTTGAGGACACTGTGCTGAGAGTCACAAAAAGTTAAATACTGTATGATTCCACTAATATGAGGTATCTAGATTAGTCAAACTCATACGAACAGTAATAAGAAAAAAACACTCACAAAGCCCTGCTAGGTAGCTCATTTAGTTAGAGCATCATCCTGGTACACCAAGGTTATGAGTTTTATCCCTGTCAGGGCACATACAGAAAACAATCAATGAATGCATAAATAAGTGGAACAAGTCAATGTTTCTCTCTCAAATAAAAATACTCTCACAAGGATACCATTAAGTTTATTAGATGGTATTAAATTGACTACTTTTAGGACTTAACAAATATGAGGAATTATTTAAAACAATTCATTATGAATCATGTAATTTAAAATTATAATTTCCCCGAATATTTACATAATTTAACCCGTATTAGTAATTCTGCATTTTATAGCCACTAAAGCATCTTATTGAAGTCTATAATGATAACTGAAAAAGTAATGCCACATCTGCATAATTTCAGTGCAGTGACATCTCTAGACAATTGTTATTGCCAGTTAGATGAAGAAAGTCACAAGAACTCAGAACGAGAGCTTAAAAAGAAAAATAGCTAACTTGAGCAATGCAACCTTCTCTAGGAAACAAACTCAAATTTTGTATGTAGGGCTTCAGTCAAAATATTACCAATTGATCAGAGTATTGCTATACATTATACAATTTGATTTCTTGTTTTTGACAGGTACCTTTCCCAAGACACTGGCAACTTTCTTGACTTTGTGTAATTGTTTTTTTTAATCAGAGGAGCTTATTCTAACTTCGATTTTGAAGGAGGCTATTTGTTTTCAAAGTTTCAAAGAATTAAAACTAACAATTTTATGGTTGTGGAGTACACAGATGGGGCTCACACAAATAGTTATTCTGTAGGTTCTATTCATGTTCCTTGATTGAGACAAAAACTACTATTTATGTTTCTATGGATTGAGGTTCACATGAAAACAGCTCTTTTTCACTACCATTAAATAGTCTGAATTATAAAATTTTTATAAAGGATTTCATGGCTTTTAACAGTATTTGCTCCAACTATTTTTGAAAGTGAATTGCTATAAAAACCTCATATGAAACAATTTACCTATTTCAAAACTTTATTTTGATGGAAACATATATTACAATTTTCATTAATAATTTAAAAATCTAATTTCTTCTTAAAAATCTTACAAATTCACTATATTTGTAACATTTAAAAATAATTTAAAAGGTAGTAAAACCTAGAAATTATAACCATAGCCTAAAAATTGATCATTTTCATTTCATAAACCATAAATTTTTATTTTAATAATAAGTTATGAAATCCATTCTTACATGTCATTAGAATGACAAATGTTTGGAAGTCCATATTCATTAGCCTTCAAGACAAATTTTTAAAAAAAACAGTATGCCTATTGGATACAAGAACAGATAAAAACCAGACAATCTAAATGTCCATTAACTGTTAAATGGATAGATTGTGCTACTCATACAATAGAATATTATATAGTAATAAAAATTCATGAACTGTGGCTTCATTCATCTGGGTGGATGAATTTTAAAGTTTTTCAGCAAAAGGTGATGGAAGCATACATACAGTATGACTCCATTTATATAACACTTAAAAGGATGCAAAACTAAGCAGTGCAAAACTACAAATACAAACAAGGGAATGATGAACAGAAAATCTAGGTTAGTGGTACCTCTGGGGGAGGGAAGTGAATGTATCAAAGAGGAGCTATAGTGGGTATCAAAATTATGAGTAATGTTTTATTCTTAAAGAGAGGCAGTAACTACATGGATATTAATTATTCATCCTTAAATATATACTTTACATACTCTGGAGAAAATTGGAGTAAAGAAAGTAGAGAACTGTATGTAGACAATTCTTTTTGAAGAGGCTTGACCTTGATTGGGACATAAATAAAAATTAGGGAAAATATGTGAAAGTTTAGATTTTGTTTTGCTCTTATGCTTTTCAAGGTAGGAAAAGAGAGCTGAATGGCATAGAAAGTTTACATTAGAGAGAAGTTGAAAAAATGGGAAAGGAGAAAACTGATGTAACAAGTTAAAACTGATGTTACTTAGTATTCTGAAGGACAGAGTCCAAGGCACACCTGAAGAGGACAACCTTTGAAAGGAGGTGTGACTCTACCTAATTTCAATCAAAGTGGAGTAGAAAAGGATAGAAACAGGTGAGTAGATTTATACATTTGGTGATGGGAAACCAAGGTATTTCATATCTGATGGCTTGTTCCTCCTCTTGAATGAGGTAAGATCATTAGCTGAGAGGAAAGGATCAGTTGGTTTTGAGAAAAAGTGAAAGTATCTGAGAACAAACTGACCACAGGTAAATGCAGATGCTTTCTTGGACATTTTACCTTACCTATTTCCCTTGTCTCTGCCTACAATGTATTTCCTCTTCCTTTTCTTCCAGAAAGTCTTCCCATCCTTCAAGATTCACTACATCTTCTATGTCCTCTGAAACCTTTTCTATCCCATGGTAATCCTTTCCTTAAATCTTACAACAGTTGACTATACCACTCATGTTTCACTTACTCATGGACTGTCTTGCAATAACTCTTTTGTGTTGTACATGATTTAATTTTTATGTTGTCTCCTTAACTACAGTTCTTGAAGGCAGAAATTGTCTTTCGTTAAACACTGTCCCTCTTTCAGAAAAAGTGTATTCTCATACACATAGTGAACATCTGGATGTATTTTCTAAATATGCCATCTACTGAAACAAATATCCTTAAAGGCAAATGATAAAATAACTAAGAGTGAACTTTGAAACCTCTATTATTTTCTTGTAACTGCTCCTGGTTTGTTTTTGGTTTTAGAACTTTGTTTTATTGTTGACAGTATTACAGATGTCCCTAATTTCCACACCCCTTTGCCCAGCTCCAACAAACCTCTACCTTTTTAGAAGACAGAGAGCCAAGATAAACACATAATTGGTTTGCATGTTTAAAAAAATTATTCATGCTCATTAAGCTATTACTTTTTCTTACAATTTTTATGTTGTTTTTTTCATGGAGCTAGCTCTACCAAAAAATGAGGTAAAATGTTCATCAGCAAAGACAAATTATGTTAGGAATGCCATCTTGTGGTTGAGAGCAGTTCCTTACACCAACAGTTCCTTTCAGTGACCATCTTTAATTCAGAAATCAAACATCCAGCAATTTCACAAATGTATGGTTAAAACGTATTATTAAGTAAATATGTGCATCAATTGTGTGTGGTTTAGTTGTCAAAAAAAGCAATGCTCATTGAAAAGGGAGACAATAGGTATAGAAGAATGGACTCCAAATAATATAGGAAAACTGGTACCTATAACTATAAACATACTTCTAATAAAACTATTCAAATACACTGAATTTTGGAAAAAAATTCTCTTGAAATAGGTAAGTCATTTTATTTCTGAATCCAGAAATTTCTGTTGATTATTACATCCTGGATTTAAATCATGTGTTCTGATTTTCAAACTATGTCACTCTAACTATAAACATCCAAAGGAGAATGGAAAACAGAACACTTATCTAATTTGGATGGTGTCACATACACATAATTATTTGTAGCCCAAACGGATTCTGAATAGAGTTAAAAACACTGGCTCTATCTTAGCAGATAACCTACTTCCTCCATACAAATTAGCCATTTGAGCGGCAAATTATCTTTCTCATCAGAAGAGAACTAGTAATGGTTACAAATGTTGTAGTTATTAACAACTGTGTTTAAATATTTTAATTGCCAAATTCAATACCAGGCATTTTGGTCCACCTAAAAGTGGGGGTAGGAAGTGGAAACTGATGCATTCCTCATGAATAAACAGCACAGCACAATAGCACAAGGGTCCGTGCACTATGCTACCTTTTTGTCACTTGTAGATTAAGGATCCAAGGAGCATGTAGAGGTACAAAGTTCAGTCCTAGAGGTTAGGCTATTGAAATTCCAAAAGATAATAATGTAGACATAGCTAAATAAAAAAAGACTATTGTACTCCAAATCAATTCTTGTGATTTATTATTGCATGGTTATTAACAAAAAAAATTATTTTACTCAGAAAACTTATATGAATTGATTTTGTATTAGTTTTTCCACATGACTCTTTAGGACATTCACATCAGCTGCACAGACCTGATACTCCATCTTCTCTTGCTGTTTTGTTCTCTCTAATAAAGCCTCATGTAGTGGAGGTAATGCATTGTATGAACCCAATAAATAAAGCTGACTTGATGACGTTTGGTTGATTTCTTGAATCTTTAAGGCCTGCATGATAGCAGGTGCAAACTTTGAGTAATGAGCTGTGGATGTCACAATCACTGGGCAAGTTTTGTCTTGCATTCTATCTGTAACCACTTTTGCAACAGCAGTGTGTGGATCCAAAATATACCCGAAATTATTGTAGGTGGAGTGAATAGCTGCGAGGCACTCTCCCTCAGAGCACCAGTCGGCTACAAAATCCTGCTGAAGTTTCTCAACTAGATTCTTTTCTATCTGAAAGTGATGCTGCTCTTCCAATTGATTAAATAATTTTGTCATTAATTGTCCATCTTTATTAGCCAGCAAGTGTAAATGTCGTTCCAGGTTTGAAGATTTAAGAATATCTATTGCTGGTGAAAAAGTCTGTGCTAATTTCCTTTCTCTTAGGTCATAATGTCCTGTTTTTATAAAATCAGTCAAAACGTGGTTCTGATTAGAGGCACAAATAAATTTTCGAATAGGGATTCCCATCATTTTGGCATACACTGCAGCTAAAATGTTACCGAAGTTTCCTGTGGGGATACAGACATCCACTGGGCTTCCAAAGGAAATAAAGCCTTGACTAACAAGATCAAGATATGCAGAAGCATGATAAACTACTTGGGGAAGCAATCGGCCCCAGTTTATGGAATTAGCTGAACTTAAGATTGTTCCATATTCCACAGTAAGAAAGCCAGTAAAATCAGAATCTTTAAAAATTCTTTTTATAGCTGTCTGGCAAAAATCAAAATCCGACTTGACACCCATTGCCCATCCATTTTCTTCCTGACTGCCAATTATCTGTGCTTTTTGAAAATCACTTATTCCATTCTCAGGAAAAAACGTGGCCACAGCTATTCTTTGCTTGTCATTTTTATTAAGATTACTAAAACCATTTAAGACAGCGCTCCCTGTGTCTCCCGAAGTTGCTACAAGTACCATATAATTGCAACTTGGTGGAATACAGTGTGCAAAAAGATGAGGCATAAGCTGTAAAGACAAATCTTTAAATGATCCTGTTGGTCCATAAAACAACTCCAGGATGAACTGGTTGCCTGAAAGATGCCTGACAGGGGCAATTTTTGAGCAGACAAAGTTTTCCCCATAAGCAGTTTCAATCATTTTTCCCAATCTGGCAGCAGGTATGTCAGCAGGATGTATACACTTTTCCAACAGTATTTGTGCTCTTTCTATGTAGGTTGCTCCTACTAATCTTTTCCACTCCCCACAGTTTAATTTTGGAAATTCCTTCTCAGGAACAAAGAGTCCACCATCAGAAGCCAATCCCTCAATCACAGCTTCACTGAAGAATTTTGTCGAAACCTTCTGCTCACCGTCTTTAGGCCAAATGTGTCTTGTTGAAATGAATGTTTCTGAGTCCACATCTTGGTATCTTTTAACTTCATTAAGCACTTTGTCAGCTACCTCCTCTGGGGAAGCCCCACTTTCACAAAAAACACGGGTATCATACCACTTCTTATAATACTGTCTTCTAAATTTAAGTAAGTCTATCATAGCTGTCCCAGAATTCTGACCTACAATCCTATCTATTTTCATTAATTCTAGACGATTAACTATATCTATTAGAGGTACATCCAGGTATACGATTATTCCATTTTTCTTCAGATGCCACATGCTAGTATCATGCATTGGGTTAGACCCAGTAAGGGAAATCACACTTCCAGATGTAGAGAAGTTTAACACAGCTTTTCCTTCCTCTTCTAAAAATTGTTCATTACCAACATCCTGTAATTTTTCAGACACACTCATATTCCAGGTTTTTTCAAGGATATCATCATCCACATCTATGACACAACAACCTAGTTTCAGCCCTATTATTCTGCCTACTGTTGTTTTCCCAGCTCCAGGCAGTCCCATCAGGATAATATTTTTGTCTCCAACAAGAGAGTGAGTTGAGTGACATGACTTCCTTAATTCTGCAAGTGCAAAGGTTCTTGAAAGATATAGCTGTGCATGTTTATCCGTTTTAACATGTATAAAAGAAAAACATTTCTGGGTTATTTGTTTCAGATGTTGACATCGGTTAAAGTGGAGCATTCTCTTTTCACTTTTTTTTTTTTTTTGCCAAAGCCAACCTAAAAACTGGCTTTAATCCTTTTCAAAACATAAAAACAAAAAAGGACATTTGGTTACTAATTTCAACAGACTTAAAATCCTCACAGGAGTGAATATAACCATGTCCACAGTACATAAACTATTTTAAAATCTTCCAAATTTATGGGATATTTAAAAAAGTATTTGAATCCAAATTTCCATATACTGCATATTACATCTTTAAAAATCTTTTCAAGTCTCAAGACACTGAATAATCAAAACTTTAATAATTTGTAGCAATTAAGCGACAGAAACTTTATTCAAAAAATGCCATTATCATAGGTGCTTTTTGAAAAAATATACTAAATCAAATTAGTATTTCTTTTTCCTGCAATGAAAATTGTTTTATGGTTTATAACCCATATGATAAGGGTTATTTAAAGTTGAAATGATGGTTGCTTAGAATTCACAAAAAGATTATTATTTTTATATTTAATTTCTCTTTAGTTATATGAACATGTTTATAGACAATTATGTTACTCATACATTTCTTAGATACAGTACTCACAACAGGAAACCAGAATAAAATATTTGCTTATAAAATGCTTAAATAATTTTCCAAACTATAGGGCACAGATATGATATTTTATTTCTATGTGCCTTTCCTATGCATACTATTAAGATTCTTTCTTACATAGTCTTCATAGTGAAGACCTTTTAAAATAAGCTAGAATGAAAGGTATAAAATTATGCAAATAGTTAAAGTGATGATCAGCAGCAAGGTCAAAGGCCACATATCTATAACCTTATCTGCATGAGACCATCACTTTGGTCTCTGTCCCATAAACATCATCAGTGAAGAGACTTAATTCACATTCCAGACTCCAGAGTGATAGGAAAAAAACCTCAAGAATGTTATCAATGACAAGAGGGAAAAATTATTCTGGAATCCAAAGCAGCTTTGGATACTGGTCAAATTCCTGTTTTTAGAAATATACTCACCATTAAACACAAATGTATGCCAGACAACTCAAAAATTTAGTCACGTGTAAAATGCAAGTTAATAACTTCTGCAACATTCATTTAAATTGACGAAGATAATTTGACCACTACACAGTGGGACTTTTCACACATTCCATAGTAGAACCAAAATGCAACTAAGCCATATTAAATGTTAGATGATACGCTTAAATATGTTCTGAAAACTTTCAATCATTTACTATTCTGGTTATCAATTCTACTCAAACTTTGTTCTGTAATTAACCATTTAAGTCATTTTAAACTAACACTGAATTTAATTTACAAGTTAAATTGCAACTGTCAAGAGAAGGAATACATTTCCTTATTTGGCTTTGCAACTTGTACTATGTGATGTGCTTAACTCCCAGTGACTTGTAAACATATGATACACACGTACCAATCTTGATGAAGAGTTTGTAGGTGCTGAGACAAAGTCAATCTTTGCAAAAAAGTGGAGTCTATAATGGAAGAAATCTCAAGTTAATCATAACTGTATACAGTATCACAAAATTCCACACAGACTATTCTATTATTACAATGCCCAACTGAAATATTTAAAGTGCAGAAAAATAATTGGCCTGCGGACTGAAGGGTCCCAAGTTCGATTTCAGTCAAGGGCACATGCTGGGGTTGTGGGCTCGAACCCCAGTGGGGGCGTGCAGAAGGCAGCCAATCAATGGTTCTTTCTCATCAATGATGTTTCTATCTCTCTCTCTCCCTCTCCCTTCCTCTCTGAAATCAATAAAAGTATATAAATAAATAAAATAGAAAATTACGGTCCTGGCTGGGTGGCTCTGCTAGTTGGAGTGTTGTCCTATAAACCAAAAGGTAGCAGGTTCAATTACCAGTCAGGCACATACCTAAGGAGGTGCATACAAGAGGCAATGATGGTTCTTTCTCCCCCCCCTCTCTCTAAAGATCAACAGAAAAAAGGCATATCCTCAGGTGAGGATTAGAGAAAAGGAAAAAGAATCATGACAGTTCAATTTACTAATTCTGTATCAATATTATTTCATCATAAAAATCTTCCTGACTAGAAAAATTGCAGTTAAGCCCTAACCGGTTTGGCTCAGTGGATAGAGCGTCGGCCTGCAGACTGAAGGGTCCCAGGTTCGATTCCGGGTTCGATTCCGGTCAAGGGCATGTACCTTGGTTGCAGGCACAATCCCAGTATGGAGTGTGCAGGAGGCAGCTGAATCGATGTTTCTCTCTCATCGATGTTTCTAACTCTCTATCCCTCTCCCTTCCTCTCTGTAAAAAATCAATAAAAAATATTAAAGAAAAAGAAAAAAATTGCTGTTAAGTGTTAGAACATGTAACAAATATTATCTTTTTAAAGCAAAATAAAGAAGATGAATTCTTAAGCTACATACTAATTTTGCTTTTGTAACATTTAGCCGCAAACTAATTTTAGGACTTCAACATCCACTGCAAGCAATCCAGATGACAAGAGAAGATGGATGTAACTTTTATCTAGAAACAGAATTTTACTTAAGTCATACAGTCAATTCTTGTTATTCATGGTATTTGTGTTCTATAAAGTCACCAGGAATATTGAATTAGTGAATATTAAACCACTGCTTCTGAGAAATACAGGATTAGGTCCCTGTGAGCCTTTGGTCATAACATTTTTTGCCAACTGATCAATACATAACCTTGTTTTATATGTGTTTCTGTTTAAAGACATCTTACTGAACATTAAGTTGATCCATTACCAATGAACTTACAGCCAACAGCACTCTTAACTCATGCCTGAATGAAGCTAATCTAACACATTTTCTCTGTAAGGCACTGATAGCACTGTTGCCTGGGGAACACTAGGCAGCACTTCAGCACTGGGCTTGGGGGTCATTTTAAACAGCAAAATCACCAACGAGAAGCACAAAAATGTGAAAAATGTGGCACTAAATAGAACATGAAAAGGACACTTGTCTACAGTATGAGAGCTGAAGCAAGAAGGCAGAGGGTCACCTTGTTTGACTCCAGCATGGAACATGCACATCAGACAACTCAAATTTTTCACCACTGTGTGCATGTCTGAGAATGACTACAAAAGCGCTGCATGTATTAATTTGGGCTTATAAATAAAATTTAGCCAGAATCCACAAATATGGAACCTGTGAAAAGTGAGGATCAACTGTATATCATTCTTTTATGATTGAAAGCCATGTTATTAGACATTTTTTTCATTTACTTATGTTAGCATGTTTTTTAGTATAATGGTCATGAATAGGACATTTTTCCTTAGCCAAAGGACAAAACTATTTGAAATTAAATGAAAGTCAATCACATAGGAGTCAGAAAGCAAAAACATTTAAAGACCAAATCTCTTGGCCATTATAAAATTACCAAGTTTTCAATTCCTCTGGGAAACTGTCAGAATCCTACTTAGTCAAAAGGATTCAACATTTTTCACCCATTTAAAATATTTGCTATTATATTCTCCTTCATAATAAAGTAAGTACTTCAAAAATTATCTCCTGATGAGAACTGGCTATATAGTTCAATGAACTTGTCATCCTGTATTAATGCAATCTCTATTTAAATTTCTCAGATGACTAAAACTAGTCCACTATCTTATGAAGAAAGATACTGAGGTTTTTAAAAATTCTTTAAAATTACTGCATTTTATAGCATTGAATTATTTTCCAAGTAATAAGAACAAATGAAAATATACTAGGAAATAAACTAATGGTGGGTGGGGGTAAAGCTCTGCTGCTTCTGAACAAAAATCCTCTCAACAAGCTCCCACTTCCATAGACATTGTGAGGTGGAGGGGGTGAAAGGAGCGCACATCCAATGCCATGCTGTAAACACAGGGATTTTACAAGGTCCCTACTCACCATTGCGTTTATCTTAGTGTCAAGGCTGACTAAGCATTTCCTATTTGTTTCCTTTTGCTGCTAGATAGCCTCTTAATGGTCTTGAGTATTTAATTCAAGACTTTTTACAGTCCACTTTTCCACTTTATAACTTGGGAAATTATTTTAAAGTATATTTGTCTTTATAAAGCGTTTATTTTCCTCCCAATTATCATATTCGTATTCCCACCTACACCTATTTTATTCATCTAAGTAGATTAAAATAATCTTTAGGAAAAAACAAAAAACACCAACTTTTTATGTGAAACCATTTATAACAAGGGTCTGTGCCAACTACAACCCACAGGCCAAATTCGCAGCACAACTTTGCTTTCATTTGTTCCTTTGTTTAGTATTGCCTCTGGCTGCTGATGAGCTACCATGGTAGAGTTGAGTAGTTGCAACAGAAACCATCTGACCTGCAAAGGCCTAAATATTGATTAATCAGCCCTTTACAGAAAAAGTGCATGATCTCTGATGGTATACCAACACTAACTTCCTGTGGACATATTGGACATGGGCATTTCCTTGAACAGTACTGCCGTTTTGAGGGAAATATAGAAATTAAAAATATATTCTTTGTAAACATACTTTCAAAAAAAAAAACCAAGCAGCCCTAACTGGTTTGGCTCAGTGGATAGAGCGTTGGCCTGCAGACTGAAGGGTCCCAGGTTCGATTCCGGGTCAAGGGCATGTACCTGGGTTGTGGGCACATCCCCAGTAGGAGGCGTGCAGGAGGCAGCTGATCGATGTTCCTCTCTCATCGATGTTTCTAACTCTCTAACTCTCTCCCTTCCTCTCTGTAAAAAATAAATAAAATATATATATTTTTAAAAAAAGCAAGAATTACAGATCAAGCATCTAAGAAAAAAAAAAGTTCCTTCCCAAATGATTTAACAACTTCCATCATGATTGTAAACTAAATATACTATAGTGAGGAGATCTTAAACTCTGTTTAGTAATTTTAAAGGCGCAATAAGTATACTGACAGTGAAAATACTGTATTCAGGAACTCCAGGAAGTTAAGATTAGCTAAGGCCAGTCGGTACTTACTCACTGAAGAAACGCTTTTCTTTGCCCTTCCTGGCTCCTAAAGGAACTGGTTACCATCCAAGGGTCCTCAAACTACGGCCCGTGGGCCACATGCAAATACAAATATTGTATTTGTTCCCGTTTGGTTTTTTTACTTCAAAATAAGATATGTGCAGTGTGCATAGGAATTTGTTCATAGTTTTTTTTTTTAAACTATAGTCCGGCCCTCCAACGGTCTGAGGGACAGTGAACTGGCCCCCTGTTTAAAAAGTTTCAGGACCCCTGCAAACCATCCCAAGTGTCCCTTCTAATTAGAAAATTTGTAAGTTTGGGCCAGTGACTATCCATTGGGCTAATGGTATTATCACTCTGAGGCCTTCGTTCAAATCTTAACATGTATAGAGAACAAAACTTTTCTATATGCACGCCAAGCAAAAAACAAACAAACAAAAAAATGAGACGGCCCAAGCTGGCGCGCCCTCCATCCCCGAGCATCTAACTCTCTTCGGGCAGAGCGGCCGCTGTCAGGCTGTCTTCCTTCCCACACCCACTGCCAACATGTCTTTTAGAGACTGGCATGGCAAAAGCTTTTAAATGAGTTTCTCCCAGCGGCCACACGTGTATGAGCTGGTTTCTGGAAGACCAAATGGGTTGAGAACGGACAAAAACCGCTTCTCACAAAGACGATTTTCAAAAAAGGACACCAAAAAAAAAAGGGCAAAAATTACAGGGTCCATATGCAAGGCTTCCTCTCGTTTAAAAAAGAAGCCCACACACTTGTGGAGAAAGACCCAAGAGGAGGGCCGATCACGGGGGAGACCGGGCGAAAAGCAGAGAACCGGGGAGGCGCAGGCCCGGGGAGAGGCGGGGCGCGACAGGGGGACGCAGGCCTGGCGGCCCGGGGCGCACAGCGAGCACCGCCGGCCGAGCACCGGGGCCGCCGAGACAGGAGCTGTGATGACAGGCGAGGAGCGGGAAGGGGAGGGCGCGAGAGGAGAAAGGCATGCGATGGGAGCGGACCCGTGGCTATGGCCTCCCTTTCTTTCTCCTCTCATAACTCACCCAGAAAATCACACTGAGAAGACGGGGAAAGAGAAAGAAATGGGAGGGCGTATCCAGGAGCAGCCAGTGTCGCCTCGGGACCGAACCCCACACCGCCGGCCCCGGCCCCCAGACCACAGCCCAGGCCCAGGACCTCGCCAGGACCGCCCCCACGCCGCGGCCCCCGCGCCTGCGCCTGCGCCGGTGCAGCCTGGCGCTCCCGCGCGCCACACCCACCTCCGGAGCTGCCCAGCGTCAGGCACGTGACTCTCGTCAGGCTCCACCTACGAGCCAACCCCGGCCCCGCCCCTACCTGGTCTGCTTTCCACGTGGGCCGTGCGTCAGCGAGGCCTCGGCCGCTGGCCCCGCCCCTGCCGGAATTGGGACCTGCGCACAAGAGCCTTATTGTGTTACCTCAGCGCGCCCGCTGGGCTTTTGTGTCTGAATCTTTCTCCACATATACAGAGACAGAAAAAAGCAACATTTTTATGGGGACGCCGTTTTTCACCCCATTACTCCCAAAGGCACATATAAACGGTGGTTTCCACATTGAGCTTTCCAGTTAGAAGAATTGAGCTGCGGTGACGGGAGAGAGGAAGCATGGTTTGCAGTGGGGCCGCCCACTTCCCCGTTGCCTAGTAACTGTTTCCATGGCAAGCGCGCGGTCTAGACGCTCAGCAACCCCAAGAGGAATAGAAAGGGTATCCTCTTCCCAAGAGAGGACGGCAAAAAGGGGTCAAAGGGGAACTGTGTGAGAGAAACCTTAGTTCCTTGAGAAGGCAAGAGAGTAGGAAAGGAAAGGGGATGCAGTGAAGAAAGGGACGGAGATACTGGTATTTTGATTTAAAAAAAAAAAAGTAGTTTTGAGGAGCCGTTTGGTGGCCATGGATCCAACATGCCCTTCTGAGAGCATTTACAACCTCATACCCAGTGACTGGAAGGAGCCTCCCCCGCCTCCTAGGTATGTGGGTAATACAAGATTATCGCTTGAAACAAGAATGCGGAATAATTCTTCTATTTCAGGATTAATCAAAGCATCATATGACTTTTAAAAAGAAATAAAAAATACTTTTGTCTCAATGAAGTAACCTTGAATGATAACTTCTTAAAGAAAAGGTTGCAAAATCTAGCTACTCAGTATCTCAAAATTCAGAGAGGGCGATCCAGTGCCATTTTATGTTAGTCTCCTGTAATAAATAGGGCATATGACTTTTATAATTTATCTGATTGTTCACACATGATATGTGGTATATAATAGTGTGAAATTTCTTGTTGAAAAATATCACAATTTTATTATCTTGTGTTAGGATATTTCATATTTGGTTTCAGGAGTTCCTTGTTTTATTTCTGACTGCTCTTTTTCTAAGGGTGTAGTACTTATTTTTCCCCCAAGATTATTGTCAAATATAAATTTGTTTCTGAGCCTCAATGTTTTGATCGGTGAAACAAAATAGACAGACTGGATAGTTTCTAAGGTCTTTTACGGGTCTTATAGATGGAAGGAAGAGTGGATGGAGAACCAAAAATATGTAACTCAGTTAAAAATTTTACATAGGTGATAGGACCTCTTAAATTCCCCAGTTTCAAAAAGGTCATCACAAACTAAACATCCATTTACACTCCTGTGTAGGGACTTAGAACTTATTTAAATCTATGGGGAGAGAAGAAGTAGGTAATAGAGAAAATCTCATTTCTCCTAGTACTTGGCTGTCTTTTACCTTTCTCCTTTTCCTGATTTAAGTGAAAACCACATTGAAAGAGCACTGGGCTAGGAGAAAAAACAAACAGGGGCTTCAACTAATTGGTTTTGGGATCATGAATAAATTTCAATGAGTCTTTATGGCCCCTTTCAGTCTAATGGTCAATTATTTTTACTAATATTTACATCTTCAATAAGAAGTTTCATTTTTTAATTTTTTTCATTTTTTAATTTTTATATTTTTGTTATTCCTCACCCAAGGATATTTTTTCCATTTATTTTTTAGAGAGAGTGGAAGGGAGGGGAGGAGAAAGAGAGAGGGAGAGAGAGAGAGAGAGAGAGAGAGAGAGAGAGAGAGAGAAGAGAGAAGAGAGGAGAGAGAAACATCCATGTGAGAACGATACATCACCTCCCTAACGTGCCATGACCTGGGCTGGGGATTGAACTGGAAACCCTTTGGTGCACCTACGAGACTCTAATCATTGAGCAACACCAGCCTGAGTTTCTTTGTTTTAACCAGAGCAGTACCTACATTAACTTCCGTTAGTTTTTCAAAATCTAGTAGAAATTGGAAAGGGGAATATAAAGTAAGAAGATATGATACCGGTGCACAGTTTATGAGGAGTGTTCAAATTAACTATTGGTAAATGGACTTTTGGTCCAAAATTCCTATATATTGTACAAGATAAAGCTCCTCCTCTCTGTAACCCACTGGTAGGTTGTGTTTTCTATAGAGGACTGAATTTGAATGGTAAGATACTGTATTAGACAGGTGTTCTGTCCTTTGGTAAATTTAAAAGCTTTACTATGCATCTAGGTGATTTTTTCAAGAAATTTTATAGGAACAATCATTCTTAATTTGGCAAGCATTAACTGAGCCCCTATTAGGTGTATAATATTGCCCTTGGGGAGTGTTGCAGTGACAGCACACACTTTGGTTTGCTCTGAAGGAGTGTGTAGGAAAAAGGAACTTATGGTGAAGGGACTAGAAGGCATCTAAATGTGATGCCACACAACTTTCTCTGTTAAGTCAGCCTACACTGTCAGCAACAACGATGAGGAGTTTTTAATTTGATGGCATGCACGAAAACCGCTAATTCATAAAAAAAGAGCATAATTAATCACACTTTTTTCTCACCACACTAACACAAACTTGTCTGAATCTCCTTACTGATAGTAAAATTACATAATCATAAGAAATGTATTAAGCTATAAGGCTTATCTGTATTACTGAGTTATAAATCCAGCTTCAAGAAAGCTCTCGGTGGCTCTTTGCAAGACTGGCAAGATGATTGTCCAGCTTTCATAAAGAGTTGGGTTCCTGGGAGAAATCAAAAATTGACTGTACTGTGCTCTCCCATACATCAGAGTTTAGTTTCCTTAGCAAACAAAAATATAAACATTAAAATATTGATATACTAAATGAAATAAATGTTACCAAATAGATATATGTAACCAAAGTGGGGTGAAGGGCAACCTTTTGCAGTGGAACTATAAGCTAGGATTTAAGATATAAAAATGTTAAAGTCAGCCCTGACTGGTGTTACTCAATGGTTAGAGCATTGGCCTGAGCATTGAAGAGTCTCGGGTTCGGATTCTCAGGTAAAGGCATGATTGTGTTTCAGGTTTCAGCCACCAATCAATGTGTCTCTCTCACATTGACGTTTTTCTCTCTCTCTTCTCTCTCTGTTTTTGTCTCTCCCTCTATTTCTCTCTTTCTTTCCCCACTCCTACCCCTCCCTATCTCCCTTCCACTCTCTCTAAAGAAAATCAATGGAGAATATCCTTGGGTGATGATTAACCAAAAACAACAACACATGTTAAAGTCAATGAGAAACCATTCATCAGTTTTCAAAACTTCAGTTGCTCATGATGTATGAGATGGTTTCCAAGATCATCGCCAAATGTGTGACCCTTCTATTGATAACTCGTTACTTAATATCTCTAATCATTCTCTCTTTCCCTTTTGTTGAAAGTAATATTCCAATATGGCCTGAATGTTGACTTCTGATCTGCTTTCCTTGATGCACAATACTTTTATTTATGCATCCATTAGCATTATGGCAGTCAAGTCCTATCGTTGTTTCACATTGAAATTCCCACATGAATTATGATTAAGTTTAGTCTCTCCCATCCTATACTTGTGTAGCTGGTTCTTTTTTATCTAAACTTATCATTAATCTATGGAGATAGTTTTGAATTTTGAATCTTTCATACACTCTCTTAACCATCCCTCACAGCTTTGTGACATTTGCAGATCCAACGTCTTTTATATCTCCATCCATCCTTGAATAGGGCTAGTACCTTGCACTTTAATAGGCCACTAGATATTTCTTTCTAGACTGACAGCAATAAATGTTTTTGAGGATTCAGTCATTCATCCAAATGCACTCATTAATCAGTTCATATTTCTCTACCTTATCAGTAAGTATTTAATAAGAGGCTTTACATAATATACAAGGTGTATATTATGTCTAAAATATTTTCCTGATTTTTGAGTCTTATATTTCTTAAAAATGATCTTCATACCCTAGCTGGTTTTGCTCAGTGAATAGAGCATTGGACTGTGAACTGAAAAGTCCTGGATTTGATTCCGGTCAAGGGCACATGCTTGGGCTGTGGCTCAATCCCCAGTAGGAGGCGTGCAGGAGGCAGCCGATCAATGATACTATCTCATCATTGATGTTTCTGTCTCTTTCTCCCTCTCCCTTCCACTCTGAAATCAATAGAAATATATTAAATAAATAAATAATAATCATAAAAATCACATTGAGAAAGTTGTTTTCCCATTTCAAAAAACAAAAGATCTTCATTTCAGTGACCTGAAACTCCAAGTGGCTCATGCTATCATTGCTGCTCTAAAAATTTTTAGAAGCTCTTTGAAATTGACATCAGGCTCACCAGTATGGAGTTTCTGTATACATGCATTTTGAAAATGAAATATTTAATGTCATAAGCACCCAGTAGTTGTTTCCTTTTTTATGCCTTTTTGGTTTTCATTGGGATAATTCTGACATGTAGTCAGAATTTCATTTTTGGAGCTTTGCATTTTTCTTGGACAACCTTCCATTTTATTCCATTTTAATGCTGTTATACTGTATTTTCTGAAGGTTTGTAACATCTGTTTGTTTAAAGTCCAGTTATGTATCTGAGTTTGTTAAGCAATCTTGACTATTATGAAATTTTAGATAACATAGTTACTTTCTTCTGAGGTTCTTACCTTCTTTGCTGACTAAGTATAGCCAGTAATTGGGGAAAACAATAGTTCTTTTAAATGAATTTATATTCACAGAAAATTTAGAATATCCAAATGTTTTTGTTTTAGCATAATGAAATTTAATGCTAAAATTCCCATTCTGTAATATATGGTCTTGGACAGTTTTTTAATTAGTGCTGGAAGTCAACATTCAGGTTTTTCATCTGGCTATCCCTCTCTGCAGACTTACACAATAATAATACTTCTCTTCATCTCTTGTGTGTTTTTCCCCAAGTGCACTTCTCATGCTTATATATATATTCATTCTTGACAAACATATATTCAAATATATATATATTTGAGGCCTGATGCACAAAAATTTGTGCACTCGGGGAGGTCCCTCAGCCCGACCTGTGCCCTCTTGCAGTCTGGGACCCCTCAGGGGATGACCACCTGCTGGCTTAGGCCCGCTCCATGGGGGATTGGGCCTAAGCTGGCAGTCAGACATCCCTCTGGCAGCCCAGGAGCACTTGGGGGATGTCCACTTGCCAGTGGGGAGCAGGCCTAAGCTGTAGTCGGACATCCTTATCGCTGCTGAAGCAGCGGAAGAGGCTCGCACCACCACCACTGTACTGGCAGCTCCTGCATTGAGCATCTGCTCCCTGGTGGTCAGTGTGGGTCATAGTGACAGTCATTCCCAGTCATTCTACAGTTAGGGTCAACTTGCATATTACCCTTTTATTATATAGGAGTGCCTGGCCAGCCTGGGTGAGGGGCTGATGGCTGTTTGCAGGCGGGCCACAGCCCCTTCAGGGTGGGGGTCCCCCCTGGGGTACCTGGCCAGCCTGGGTGAGGGGCTGATGGCTGTTTGCAGGCTGGCCACAGCCCCTTCAGGGTGGGGGTCCCCCCTGGGGTACCTGGCCAGCCTGGGTGAGGGGCTGATGGCTGTTTGCAGGCTGGCCACAGCACCTTCAGTGTGAGGGTCCCCACTGGGGTGCCTGGCCAGCCTGGGTGAGGGGCTTAGGGCTGTTTTCAGGCTGGCCACACCCCCTTCAAGGTGGGCGGG